GGGTCCCCCCACCTTCTCAGTGTTCAGTGTCCACTCTGAAAATCCCCCTTTGGTGTCCCTGTGGGCTTCTCAAGGGAGGACCAGAATGGGCCATGAAGGCAGTAGACCAAGGGTACGCTGGGGTGGAAAGGGAGGAAAGACTAGGGCACGAGGCTCTGAATTCTGGGCCATGCCATCATCTCTTTTGCTTTCTGCCAGTGGCCCCGGGGGCCAGCAAGGGACAATGACGAAGGTATAGCCCTTAGAGCTCACCCATCCTAGGAGGAGGCCAACACATGACCGTCATTCTGCATCACTGGACGGAACAAAGTCTTGCTTTGTGTCGGGGATGCAAGCGCAAAAGCAGAGAGCTGTGTTCCCCGGAGTTTCCCCGATGGCCGGTGGTCAGGGGTCCTCCTGGGAGAGCATGTTAAAACCAAGGAGATTATGGTGGAATACGGACGAATGAAAGAGGATTTAAGAAGAGATAAGTAAATCATGCTCTTCTTCTCCAGGGAGCAAACTGAACTGGTATTAATCAGGATACTAATGTTGCTGGCTTCTCGGCCAAGCCCACGAAAAGGACTGCCAAGGCGGATCAGGTGTCAGGTTTCAGAAATCATACACAATTTATTTTTCCGCAATAGGGAACTTTCATTAAAAAGACCAGCCCTGTTAGACGACTCGGCACACTTTGTCCAGTTCCCTTCAGCCCGAGGCCTCCAAGCGAAGAGTAAGATGCGCTGCAAGGAGCCAAGGGTGACACAGCTGTTGCTTTCTCCCGTTGACCGCCTGGGGGTGGAGTTGGGAGGACTTGGGCCAGGGGTAATGGCTCTGTTTTTCCGAGGTCTGTGAGCTGACCACTTGCCAGTAGTTTTTCCACGAATGTACAGGACAAAGACGCGAAGGGCTGGAAAAGCAAAAGTAGAGGCAGAACAAGCAAAACAAAGCGTGGCTGATAGTGTCGCCAGAGAGAAAGAGAGCGAGTTGAATTTACGAGCCAGTGAGTCTGGACTCAGTAAAACTCTCCTGTCACAGTGAGGAGGCAGCAACTGGCAAACATTTCCCCCCCCAAGAACACCAAACTCACACTTATGAATGACATGGAAAGTTGTTTTATAATCCTCCATTGAATTGGGATTACTAAACCCTGTGCTTTGTGTCTCCCCTCCCCATCCAACCCCAAGTCCCGTGGTGGCTATGAAAGAGGTAAACAGTGTGGAAGCGAGCAGAAAGTTCCGGAGGTGGAGTATCCCCAACGCCCTGGAGGGCTGGAAGTTTGGAGGAGGAGACAGAACACGACTGAGCTGCAGCTTTGGCACCGAGTCCTTCAGCTGCCTTCCTTTGTGCCTTGACATGGTTCTGTCACCTGACTTTCTTTAACTTTTTTTTTTTTTTGGCATTCCTCTCTGGCTCCTTGGCATGGCTTGCTAAGGCAATGGCAGTCTCTCCTAAGGCTTCCATCACCGTGCTAATGGTTCTCAATTCTCTTCTAAAGTCTCTCACCTTACATCCAAACCTTTTATCTCCTCTCACATAATCCACATTCTTTCCATGATTGCTTAGGTGGTGCAAGAGTCTCTAGCTTGGCAACCGTTGTAATCATCTGAGATGCTTATAAAACAGCCCAAGCCTTCCCCCAGGCCAATGAATCAGACCTGCTGGGCATTCAGGGTGGTTTTAGTGGCGAATAAAGTTCTCCAGGTGATTCCAGTGTAAGCCAACTTTAAATCGCTTATCTACAAGACACTGGAAGTGGAAAGGAACAGACTACAAATTACAAATATAAAGCAGTGCTTGCCAGCTGGCGTTGCAGCACAGTGCATTAAGCCGCTGGTGTGATATCAGCATCTCTCCCCAGAGTGCCAGTTCTACTCTTGGCTGCTTTCCACTTCTGATCCTCATTTCCTGCTAATAGGCCTGGGAAAATAGGGGAAGCTGGCTCCCGTACAACCACATGGGAAATCTGGGAGGAGCGCCTGGCTCCTGGCTTTAGTCTGGCTCTGACCTGGCTGTTGAAGCCATTGGGAAAGTGAACCAGGAGACGGCAGAGTTGCCTCTCTGTTGCTCTGCCTTTCACATAAGTGTATTTTTTAAAATGGAGTAGTTGCCTTGATTTGGTAGTTAAACTGATGGAGGCAATGGAAAACAGCCAAGTCAAAATTTGTGATTTAAGGGAAACAGCTCTGAATGGGGAATCCATGAACCCAAAGTTTAAAAACCGACAGGGAATCTTTCATGAGGGTAGTACAAATACACAAATTCCTTCATGCCAGAACAGTCTACTATGCCAAATTGGAACCAGCCCTATGTACTGCCCAGGGTTGCCATCAAGGTTATTTTAAAAATTAACAAACATAACAAAAAACAAATGTGGGCCTGATGCAATAACCTGGTGGCTAAATCCTTGCCTTGCATGCCCCAGAATCCCATATGTATATCTATCTTTCCAATAAAAATAAGTAAATCTGTTTTAAAAAGCAACAACAAACAAATGAACTCTGTATGATTTTTTATTTTAAGATTTATTTATTTTTATTGCAAAGTCAGATATGCAAAGAGGAGGAGAGACAGAGAGGAAGATCCTCCGTGCGATGATTCACTCCCCAAGTGAGCACAATGGCTGGTACTGCGCCGATCAGGAGCCAGGAGCCAGGAACTTCCTCCAGGTCTCCCATGTGGGAACAGGGTCCTAAGGCTTTGGGCCGTCCTCGACAGCTTTCCCAGGCCACAAGCAGGGAGCTGGATGGGAAGTGGAGCTGCCGGGATTAGAACCAGTGCCCATATGGGATCCAAGCGCATGCAAGGCGAGGCCTTTAGCTGCCAGGCCATCGGAAAGGCAGATATATAGAGAGAAGAAATCTTCCACCTGCTGGTTTACTCCCCAAGTGGCCAAGCGGAGCTGATTCAAAACCGGGAGCCAGAAACTTCTTCTGGGACTCCCATATGGGTGCTGGGTCCCTAGGTTTTGGGCTGTCCTCTGCTATTTCCCAGACTATAAACAGGGGGCTGGATAGGAAGTGGAGCAGCTGGGACATGAACCGGCACCCATGGATCCCAGCTAATGCAAGGATCCCAGCTAATGCAAAGCAAGGATTTAGCCACCAGGCTATTGCATCAGGACCACTACTCCATATTATTATATAGTTAGAGAAAAACCAAGATAATGTTACTTTGTATATCAGGCTTTTTAATATTGTATTTGAAAAACACAGAGACACAGCTCCCTTTTGCTGGCTTGACTCACAGTTGCAGAGGTCGGGCCAAGGGCAAAGACAGATGCAGTAATTCCATCACCATCTCCTGAGTGGGTGATGGGCACTCAGCCACGTGAGCCATCACTGCTGTTCTGGGACAGTGAACCAGCAGGAAGCTGCAGTTGGGAGCAGGAGCTGGGAACCAAGGCCAAACACTGTGACGCAGGGCACATCTGCCATGCAAGGTGTCCACCCTGCACGTGAATTTCCAAACACTATTTTAAGATATTTGTAAATACTAAAAATTCCCTTAAAATATCTTATAGTAATTTCAAATTTGCAAAATAGTTGTAAATGAGGCCTACAGCGTCTATACACACTTCATTTTACTGCTTCAAATACAAGGATGAAAGCCAGGAATGAAGAATGCCGACATACTACTGGCCATTCTGCACGACGCGGTCTAGTGCCGTCAGATCGCCCACCAGGAACCTGTCTGCTGCAGCGGCACCAAGCAAGGCGCCCACAGCCCATTCAGTTGTCACGTCTCCTCCTTCTCGCCAACCTGGGGCAGATCCTCACGCCTTCTGTGACTTGCATGACACGGATACCTTTTTTTACCACTTATTTATTTTCATTTTGTATTTGGAAGAGAGACAGAGAGTGGTTCGCTCTCCAAATGTCTGCAATAGCCAGAGAAAACTCAATCTGGGCTTCCCACGTGGATAGCAGGCTCACAGGTACTTGAGTCATTCCAGGATGCGCGCTAGCAGGAAGTTAGATTTAAAAAAAATTTTTTTGAAGGAGTGTGTATTTCGCATATTCCATAGGTACAGGTGTAAGGAGAAAATCCTACTCCTCACTTCCCCCTCTGCCCCAGGGGAAGTTGGAATTCCAAGTAGAGGCAGAACTAGAACCCAAGTATTTTGATAGGATGTCAGTATTTCAATGGACAAGTTTTCCTTTCCTCTATTTCTTTATTTTAAAATATGTGTTGACTTTTTTGAAAGGGAGAATCTTCCATCTGCTGGTTCACTCCCTGAATGTTCCCAATGTGGAGGCTACCTCAGGCCAAAGTCTGGAACTCCAAATGGCTCTCCCACGTGGGAGCAGGGGCCCAAGAGCTTGGACGCTCCTCAAGCATTTTAACACGAAGCTGGATAGAAAATGGAGCAGCCGGGACTTGAACCTGTGCCCAGATGGGATGCACCACAGGCAGAGCATTAGCTGCTCTGCCATGTCCTTCTTTCGGTACTTGTCTGCCGGTTCCTCATGACTACGTGCAGCAAGAACACATCAGAAGTGATGCCTTTGCTTCCCACTTCAACACACCGAGAAGTTGCCGCTAAGAATCTCAGGGTTGGTGAGGCGAATCTCTGTCCTTAGGGTGGTGCCGGCCTCATTTCTCACAGTTACTTTTCCATCGGAAACTGAAGTGTGGACATATTTTAACACAAGGCCATACTTTTTAGTGGTAGTCACTGGGAAAATAATTGACAGGAAAAAGGGTAAATGAGACGTAAAGCAAGAAGCTGGAACCCAGCACAGATGTTGTGAGGTATTGGTGGTGCAGGATGACCTGCCACCACTGAGAGGCAACACGCCAACCGCTGGATAAGGTCTTCAAGAAGCTAAGAGGTCGGCAGGACCCTTCCTCGCCCATGCACGTGCCGCCTGGGCCGCAAGCCGGGGTCCGTAGCACCCTGTCCAGCTCCTGACCACGGCTGGGCGGCCACGCTGCTCCACCTGGGCGGCGCGGGCGGCTCAGTGCGCAGGCGCTCGGGGAGGCACGGGGCGTGGCCGCGGCGCGGGGGGCGTGGCCGCGGCGCGCAGGCGTCCTGGCTGCCGGTGCCTGAGGCTCGGGATGGAGGGTGAGTGAGTAAACAATCCGGGGCCGGGCGGTGGGGCCGGGCCTCCGCACCTTGCAGCCCGGACCCTGCGGAGGGGCTGACGACGACATCGGGGCACACACTGCCCACCCGGCCGTGGGAGGCCGGCAGACCCTCCGTGTGCGGAGCGCTGGAGGACAGACGTGCGGCCGGGGCTCCGGCGTGGGGAGGAGCGGCAGGGGCGGGCCCGGGGACCTGGAACCCCGTTGGAGGGCCGGTGGGCCGGTGGGCGGGAGCCCCCAGCGCCGGGAGGGCCCTGGGCGAGGTGGACTCCGGGGAGCAGAGAGGTGAACTCCGGGGAGCAGAGACCCGGACGTGGGTCGCGAGCACTCTGGGGGAAGGGAGATGAGTAAGCATAGAGCCGTGGAGTAGTCCCAAGTGAGAGGCACCTGCTGCGCAAAGCGTCAGGGGACATTGCTGGCCGGGAAGGTGCAAAGCGTCAAGGGAACACACTGCAGGCCGGGCAGATGCAAAGCGTCAGGGAACACACTGCAGGCCGGGCAGGTGCGGAGCCCTGCACCTGCGCGCCAGGCCCTGTCCACCCCCTGGCTTCTCCCATGGATCCAGCGATACAAGTGAAAGTGCCTTAAAGGTGTATGTGTGTGTATATGTGTGTTGCATGTGTTGTGTGTATGTGTTGGGAGGGGAACATGCCTGTTAGGAAACATGGGACAACACAATTTGATTTCGGTGGAAAGTGACTGCTTGAGACACGGTTTGCTGGTCCTGTGGGCAGGCGGAAGGATGCGGGCGCTACCAGTGGGATGCTGCGAGGCGGCTTTGGCTGTTTGAAGCACAAGATTGTAAATGGAGTGGGCCCAGCCATCGAGCCCAGCCACCTCTTCTTGGGAGAAATTAAGGGAAAGAGCTGAGGTAGGCTTAACAACTGGATGTGCACCAATGGCTGACTCGGAATAGAAACCACCCCCTCTTACCCGCCACCTCCCAGGACTTTTATGTTTATGAATTTTGATATTGAATGAAGTGTGGAACCTGAGGAGGCGCTGACCCTATCAGAGGTTTCTGTGACAGCTTGCCGATGTAAATTTTAGGAGTGGAACTGGTTGCATTACTCTGGATTCAACCCTCTGCAGGAGGAAATACTCAGAAGTTTTCATATGACCTGACTATGTGCAGACTTTAAAAAAGCCGATTCCCTCAAGGATAGAGTGGAACATCTATTCACGTAGCATTTACATTGTATTGGGAATAATAAACAGCCTACGTTTTTGGCTCCATAGTCAAGACACCGCTGGGATGCGCACACACCCTTTGTGTGTAGGTTCAAGTCCCACTTAGCTTTCCAAATCCCAGCTGCTTGCTCACGTTCACTCTGGGAGGCAGCAAGTGGTGGGCAAGCAGTTGGATCCCTGCTGTCCTCGTGGGAGGCTTGGCTGGTGCTCCCTACTCCTGGCTTTCAGGGAGGGAACCAGCAGGTGGTGGGAGATCTCTATCCCTCTGTGTTTCAAAAAATAAGTAAATAAATAAATAGAATTCAGAAGACACAGGAGGAGATGTGAAATAGATGCCGATAATGGGTCGTTTTATGTGAGGGAACTTAATATCCTCAGATTCTGGAATGGAGACTGGTTCCTGTTCTCCTTCAACTTGGGAAATACGTACTTTGGGTAGGGGAGAAGCGTATGAGGTCGCTGCTTGCAACACAGCCTCCCATGCCAGAGAACTGGTAGGCATCCCAGCATTTCTGCTTCACATCCAGCTCCCTGCTGACACACCTGGGAACACGGTGCAAGGTGGCCCACGTGCTGGGCCCCTGTCACCACTGCTGGAGACCTGGATGCAGGTCCTGACTCCTGACTTCACCTGGTCCAAACCTGGCCATCTGAGGAGTGAACCAGTGCATGGGAGATCTCTCTTGCTCTACTCCTCCTCTGTCACTGCCTTTCAAATAAATCAGTCCTTTTATAGAACCTGTTGAAACAGAGGACCCCATGAAATATTATTGTTGGGAGTTTATGTTAGGTACTTTGTTAAAAAAGATTTATTTATTTTTATTGGAAAGGCACCCATGTGGGAAGCAGGAGTTTAAGTACCCGGACCATCCTCTGCTACCTTCCCAGGCACATTATCAGGCAGCTGGATCAGAAACTGAGTCGTCGGAACTTGAACCAGTACTCTGATATGGCATGCTAGTGTTTCAAGCAGCAATTTACCTCACTCTACCACAGAGTCAGCCCCTAGACTTTTTCTTAAAATAGCCTTTGGATGAGTATGCGGTTTTTTTTTTTAACTTTTATTTTTATTGGGAACTCAGGTATACAGAGATGAGGTGAGAAAGACAGAAAGATCCTCTGTCCACTGATTCACGCCCCAAGTGGCTGCAAAGGCTAGAGCTGAGCTGATTCAAAGCTGGGAGCCCTAGAGCTTCTTCTGGATCTCCCACCATCTCCCAGATCTCCCACACTAGTGCAGGGTCCCAAGGCTTTGGGCTTTCCCCAACTGCTTTCCCAGGCCACAAGAAGGAGCTGGATGGGAAGCTGGGCCACCGGGATTAGAACCAGCACCCATATGGGATCCTGGTGGGTGCAAGGTGAGGAATTTAGCTACTAGGCTACCTTGCGAGGCCTGGATTAGTATGTGTTTAAAAAATATCAATTGAGATGGTTAATCCATTTAGTTCTTGAAATCTGAAACCTGGTTTCCTTAGTCTTAGAGGTAACAGTTTCCTTGCCTTGATGTGTGTCTTAAATGAGGCATGTAACAATACGCCTCATTAAGTGTACCTTTTTTATATCCCTGGGTTAGGTTTTGAAAGTTTCTACTTTGTTCCTATTTAAAAGTTCCTATTTTGGTTACTAGAAACTTTCTAGAAAATAAGGCAATCACATCAAAGATGCATTATGTTGATATAGAGGATAAACTAAAGAGAGAAAAGAGGATGGGGCCAGTAGTATCAGTGAAGTTGGGATTGAGGCAGAGGGTTTAAAACAGGCTGTTAAGAGAATACCTTCATTCTGTAATGTCCCTAGGGATTTTTTTTTAAAGGTTTGTTTATTATTGGAAAGGTAGAGCTACAGCAGAGAGAGACAGAGAGAGATCTGGTTCATCTGCTGGTTCATCCCTCTCCATTCCCAAATGGCCATAATGGGCACAGCTGGACTGGTCCAAAGCTGGGAGCCAAGAGCTTTTTCTGGGTCTCCCGCATGGGTGCAAGGACCAAACACACAGGCCATCCTCTGCTACTCTCCCAGGAACATCAGCGGGGACCTGAATTGGAAGTGGAGCAGCCAGGTCTCGAAATGGTGCCCACATGGGATGCTGGCACAGTAGGTAGAGGATCAGCGAGCTATGCCACAGTGCTGGCCCTGTTTTGTTTGTTCAAACTGTGTATCAGGTTTCTTCCTTTAGTCTGTCATGTCAGACATGGGTTGGAATGTTTCAGTCCTTCAAGCTCTACAGTCTTGAGTTACTTAACGGTTAGAGTTTAGGGCCTCTGACTCCTTTACTGATCATCTGATTCAAACTAGATTTGTAAATCTTATTTTGATTGAGTGATAATGGGCAGCCACTCAATATTCAGCTTGGTGCTGGCATCCTAGAAAACTAGACAAAGTGGAGCACCAGTCTGTTAGAAGATTGCTCTCACTTTTTTTTAAAGACTTGTTTATTTGAAAAACAGTGACAGAGAAGTGGGAGAGAGAACGAGAATGAGCAGTGAGAGAGAGAGAGAGAGAGAGAGAGAGAGGGGAAGTGTGAGAGAGAGAGGTGTCTCATGCACTGGTTGACTCCTCATGGTTAACTTCTCAAATGCTTACAATAGCAGAGGCGGGACCAAGCAGAAGGCAGGAACCAGGAGCTCCATCTGGGTCTCCCACGTGGTGGCCGGGGCCCAAGTACTAGAGCCACCATCTGCTGCTCCTGGAATGCGCATCAGCAGGAAGCTGGTGTGACTCCCAGACGGAAGTGGGTCTCCGTCCCAAGCACTCTGATACGGGCTGTGGTTACTACAAGGGCGTGGCTTAACCTACTGAGCCACAACACCCACCCCAAAGGATTAATCTTTTCAAAAAATAAACACTTTTTTTTTAGAACAGCTTTAGATTTATAAACACAATTATGAAGCTAGTACAGGGAGTGTTTTTAAACCCTACATCCAATTTCTTGATTTATTAACATCTTACAAAAGTGTACAGGTAGGGGGACTGGTGCTGTGGCTTAACAATCTAAGCCTCTGCCTGTTGTACCAACATCCCACATGGACACTGGTTTAAACCCTCGTTGCTCTACTTCTAACTCCCTGCTGATGGCAGAGGATAGCACAGATCCTTGGGCCCCTGCACCCACATGGGAGACCCAGAGGAAGCTTCTAGCTTTGAATCAGCCCAGTCCTGGCTGTTGTAGCCACCCGGAGAGTAAGCCAGCAGATGGAAAATTCTCTCTCTCTCTCTCTCTCCTTTTCATAACTTTCATGTAGATAAATAATTTTCCCCCTGTTATTTCAGAGACAGAGACATCTCCCACTGCTTGCATCAGTATGGTGTGAGAGGGCAGCAGCAAGGCAGGGACCTGGACATGCAATCCAGGTCTCCCATAGGGTTAGGAAGGACCCAGCTACTGGTGCCATCACTGCTGCCTCCTGGGGCCTGCAGGAGCAAGGAGCTGGAGTGCCGATCTCGGCCTGGGTTATCTGGGTTCAATCCTGGGAACTTCACTGTTGGCCCCAGTGGACTGAGAGGTTACCCCTTCTCTCAATTTGTATTGGACTATTTATTTTATTGTTGAATTGTAGAAATTATTTTCTAGTTTTGTGACCAGAACAGCATGTGTTTTGGAGTTTGCTTTCAATATTTCATTAAACATGGTTGAAAGACTCTCACACCCTTAGCTGGGGTATCAGTGCTATTTTGCTTGTGTAAATACATTTTTAACAAAAAAAAAAACCCAGAATTTAATAGAAAAATAAAATATTTTTGGTTCCACTCTCTTTGTCCAAAGTGAGTGAACCCACTTCTCCATCCCTGTTCCCCTGAATGTTGAGTTTTTGTTGGTGGCCTGGAGCCAGCCACTGCAGGAACCCATCTCTGGCTGGGTTTCAGGTGTTCATTTTAATCCTGTCTATTGCAGTCTACTTCATCTTCCTCATACAACCTGTGGGAACTGACCGCCTGCCAAAAAAACTCTTAGAGGCATGGAGGATCCATTAAAAAGTCACGGGAAATAAAACCTGGCTCGTGTGCACATGGGATTCAGATGTCACACTAAACACCAGCAGAGGAAGTGTGGCTTATTTTGTGTTGTGATTGGTGAAAACTGAGTGGGATTTTTGTCTCGTGTGTATTCTCCTCTGGCCAAATAAAACACTCGAGTAAAATTAGCAACGGAACTATTAATGGCTGGATTATTGTGATGTATTTACTGTCATCTCTCTCGACAGACGGTAGGAGATCGCATTTCAACGATGACTCGTCTTTAATAAAAATATTGACATTGTCCTCAGCCGTCTCCTCTGAGAAACACACACAGACACGCTAGCGGCTGTGGATCGAGTGAGTTCTTTTCCATTGCTTTATCTACAGTTTTGTTTTGTTTTGTTTTTCTTTGAAATCTAATTATTTGAAGGGCAGAGTGATGGAGAGAGATAGGAAGAGAAGAAAGAAAAGAAATCTTCTGTGCTCTGGTTTATTCCCCCCAAATGCTTGAAGCAGCTAGGACTGAGCCAGGTTGAAGCAAAGAGCCAGAACTTCCCGGCTGGGGGCACCCCTGCTGCCTCCCGGGTGCGTCTGCAGGGAGCTGGGTTGGAGCAGAGCAGCTGACACTGGACCCAGGGTTCAATGCAGGTGTCCTAAGCTGTGGCTTACGCCACTGCACCACAATGCCTCGCCTGGATTCCAGTTCTAAATAGCTGGGCGACCTCTTCTAAACTCACTAATGCAAAAAGTAAAAATGATTTCAGGAGGATTGAGACTGGGATTGTGGTTGAGTGATTTTTTTTTTTTTTAGGAAGTTGTCATGTCTTGTTGAATTGTGATATATAATGTTTGAGTCTCAGTGTGGTTAGTCCAAGGTTTTTGAGACAAGCAGTTTTGTGCTTGACTAAACAGTTTTTTCATTTCCTGCAGCAGAATTTATTTTTTAAAGCTTTATTTTCTTTGAAAGAATTTCAGAGAGAAAGAGGAAGAAAGAAAGAGATGTTCTACCTACTGGTTCACTTCTCAAGTGACCACAACAGCTGGGGCTGGGCCAGGCTGAAGCCAGGAGCTCCAGCCCAGTCTCCCATGTGGGTGCAGGAGTCCAAGCGGCTTGGGACACCTTCTGTGGCTTTCCCAGGTGCATTAACAAAGAGCTGGATCAGAAGTAGAACAGCTGGGATTCAAACTCATGTCCGTATGGGCTGGTGGCATTGCAGATGCCTGCCTCCTACAACAGAATATTATCAAGCATGTTCAGGGCGTAAATTATACTGGCAGCCACTTACTGTAATATGTGAGTGTAGTGTCTATTGTTAGTTTTATTGTTTGAAAAGAATCTGTCTCTTGGCTTCATTCTGTATGAGTAAGAATTTCCTAAAATATATATTTTTTAAGATTTATTTTATTTTTATTGCAAAGTCAGATACACAGGTAGGAGGAGAGACAGAGAGGAAGTTCTTCCATTTAATGATTCACTCCTCAGGTGACTGGGATGGCCAGAGCTGAACTGATCCGGAGCCAGAAGCCAGGAGCTCTTCCGGGTCTCCCACGTGGGAGCAGGGTCCCAAGACTTTGAGCCATCCTTGACTGCTTTCCCAGGCCACAAGCAGAGAGCTTGATGGGAAGTGAGACCGCCAGGATTAGAACCAGCGCCCATATGGGTGTGTGAAAGGCAAGGACCTTAGCTGCTAGGCTACTAAACTGGGCCTAGTACTTTAAATTCTCAGATTTGGTTGTTGTTGTTTCATTGTCTTCCCCGAAGAGATAATGTTTTTTATTTGAAAATTTTAATTGTATATGTTATCAAGTGTAATGTGATAATTTATACATGTGTATAATGTGTTACAATTAAATCAGTGTAATTAACATTTCCATTTCCTTAAACCATGGGTGGGAAGCATCCGGCCCACAGGCCATATAAGACTCGGAAGATCATCTGGCTAGGGCCACCAGAGGTGGAACTTGACATTCAGTTAGCCTGCAGAAGGCTTATTTCCAAGATGACACTTTTGGATGGCTGTGAATGGTGTTATAAATATGTAGATGATCTTTGGCAGAAAAAAGGTTCTCCAGTCCTGCACTAAACATGTAACAGGGTGAGCATTGTGGCCCAGCAGGCGGAGGGTCAGGTCCTGCTTCTAATGCCAGTCCAGCTTCCTGCTTGGGGACACTGAGGAAGGCACCAGTGACTTCCTGCCACACCTGGGGAAGGCCCCCTTGGCTTTGGCTTTGCCCAGCCCCTGAGCTGTTACAGGCATTTGGGGAGTAAACCGATGGATAGAAGATCGCTCTTGCTCGCTTGCTGTTTCTTTCCCTCTCGCTCTGTCACTGTGCCTTTCAAATAAATGAATCTTTAAAAAAAAAAAAGTTAAAAAATGAAGTGCTTCTTTAAAACAAATGTCATGTTCTACTTCCAAAGAAAAAGAAGTGTAGGCAGTTTTTAAAAACAAAGTCTACAACTTTAGTTTCTGTTGCTACTCGTGGCTTTTCATAGATCCTTGTAAAATTTTTTTTTTTAATTTAAAATGCCTAGAGGTAGTCCTCTAAGAAATCTAAATAATTCATAGGACATAAAAATATCATTACAGATTTTATTAGATTTCAATTAATTTTTAATGTTGCCTTTCTAAAATAATTAGGAGGTGGAGCTTGGATGATTCGGGGAAGTAGCTAAGACGAGGTGATTGTGAGACTGTGTTCATGCATTACGAAAGGAAGATGAATTTAACAAAATAAAGCCCTTCCCCAAATGGCATGAAGTGTTCTCAAAACCTGACTTCCATGTCACAACAGCCAGGGTCCCCTGTCCTGGGGAGCACCGGGCAGAGCGTGCCAGGCTCCATCTATACTGTTCTAGGTGCCTCAGACCACCGGGGTGCTCCTGGGCAAAGCTGAGCCCTGGGCTGGTCCTCATGTCTCACCATTCCTCCGGAGGCCAGTGGGCCCACGTGGAGCACGGCCCTTCCTGGCTGCTCCATGTGGCAGGTCGTGTAGCTAAGCACCAAAATGATGATGCGCAGTGTCCTCAGTGTCTGTACCTGGCTGTAACCAGGTCCCACTCTCCTTCCTGGGTCTGTCGTGCCTTTAGACGGTTCAGTGAGGATGGTTTGGGGTGGAAGTGGTCCTTCTGTGAAGCCCTTGAAAATGAATTTGTCTTTTGCTGAATATTTCCCTTACTCAGAGTGGTAACCTGGCCTCCACATTCTCATGTAATTGGAGTTCCTGGTGTACCGGATGTTAAATTTAAAACCAGCCACCATGGGCCCACTGTTGTGGCACAGTGGGTTAAGCTGTCACCTGCAGTTCCTGCATCCCCTGTGGAACCCAGTTCCAGTACTGGCCTTTCTACTCCTGACCCAACACTCTGCCAGTGTGCCTGGGAAAGCAGCAAAAGATGGCCCAGCACTGGCTGAACCTCCTGGCTGTGGCTCAGCTATGGCCATTCCATATTTATATTAATATATTTATATTAAGACACGTCCAGATATACAGAGAGGAGGAGAGACAGAGAGGAAGATCTTCCGTCCGATGATTCACTCCCCAAGTGACCACAACAGCCGGTGCTGCGCCGATCCGAAGCCGGGAACCAGGAACCTCTTCTGGGTATCCCACGCAGGTGCAGGGTCCCAAAGCTCTGGGCTGTCCTCGACTGCTTTCCCAGGCCACAAGCAGGGAACTGGATGGGAAGTGCAGCTGCCGGGATTAGAACCGGTGCCCATATAGGATCCTGGGGCGTTCAAGGCGAGGACTTTAGCTGCTAGGCCATGCCGCCGGGCCCAAGGTTTTTTGTTTGTTTGTTTTAGGATTTGTTTATTTTAATGACAGAGTTTCAGAAAGAAGGAGAAACAGAAATATCTTTCATCCACTGGTTCACTCTCTAAATGGCCACAATGGCTGGAGCTAAACTATTCTGAAACCAGGAGCCCAGAGCAGGTGCAGGGTCCTAAGGCTTCAGGCTGTGCTCCCCTGCATCCCAGGCCATAAGCAGGGACTGGATGGGAAGTGGAGCAGCTGAGACTCGAACTCTTGCTGGCAGCGCAGGTGGAGGCTTAATTTACTATGGCATGCCATAGGCCGCAAAATGCTCTTCTTTATCTCTGTCTTTCTTGGATTCCAGCAAAATGGATATACCAAATCCTCCAACTTCCAAATGTATCACTTACTGGAAAAGAAAAGTAAAATCTGAGTATATGCGACTTCGGCAACTCAAACGGCTTCAGGCAAACATGGGTGCGAAGGTAAGCAGTCATTTCTGCAGGAAAGGTGGTCTGTGTGGGTGTACCGATGCCACGTGGAGGCTTGGAACATTTTTTTGTTGTTGTCGTTTTGTTTTTTCCTTAACCTGTGCTTCCTTCCTTGGCCCTGTCAGGCTCTATATGTGGCAAACTTTGCAAAAGTTCAGGAGAAAACGCAGATCCTCAACGAGGAGTGGAAGAAGCTGCGCGTGCAGCCGGTCCAGTCCATGAAGCCCGTGAGCGGCCATCCTTTCCTCAGAAAGGTACTGCGCCTGCGCGGCGCGGCCCGCGCTCCTCCCTGCTTGCGTGAGGAGTTAGAAAGGGAGGGGAGGGTGTGTAGTGGTTACAATCGACCGGGAGTCTCCAAGGGGGGAGCTCTGTGACGGAAGAACTTTTCACCTGTTTCCTTTTAGTGTTTCTTTAGTTGAGCAGGATGTATGCCCACGCGCGTCTCTAATTAGGGTGGGGGGAGTTGAGGTGTGAAGGAAGGTGGGTGGGATACATGCTTTCCTCCTGTGTCCGCCCAGGACGGCGGGGCGGGAAGGGGAAGAGGCCCTACTTTTCACATGTTCTCAACTGAGCAACATCGTGAGGTTCTGACTAACAGCAGACAGGGTGCGGGCTCCTCTCAGCCTCTGGGTCCAGGCGGTGGAACAGCCTCGCTGGTGCCTCCTCTGGCCCCTTGGAAGGAATGCTCAGCCAGGGGGCACCAATTGGAGGGACCTCCCTGATCAGAAATTGGAAAAGAGCATTCTAATGTCTCAAAGAGACATTATTTCTAAAATAAAAAAAAGCCAGGGAGTGGGTGTGACTAACACCAGAGTGCCCTGGTGGTCCTTGGCTCTGGCTCCCGACCCCAGCTTCCTGCCAGGGCAGGTCTTGGAAAAGACACGTTATGCATGACCCAGCTTATGGTTTTAGCTACTGGACCCTGCCTTGGTCCCCGCTGGCCAGTGTGGGCATTTGAGGGGGTGAACCAATTGGACGAGTGCTCTGCCTTTCTGACTGCTTCTCTAATAAGTAAAAATAGCAGTTCGGAGCCAGCCTCGTGGCACAGCAGGATAAGCTACCACCTGTGATGCCAGCATCCCCTAACCAAGTGCTGATTGTTGTCCCAGCTGCTTCACTACCAGTCCAGCTCTTTGCTAAGGCACCTGGGAAAGAACGTCGGTCCTTACCAGCATGTCTGAGACCCGGGTGGAGTTGCATCCAGTTTTGGCCTTTGCAGCCACGTGGTGGAGGGAAACCAGTGGATGCAAAATCTCTCTCTGTCCCCTCCCCATTTCCCCATCACTCCACCTTCTAAATAAGTAACATGAATCTTCACACCCCCTACACAAAAAAACCCTAAAATTTTGTTTAAAATGGTAATTTAAATCGCTATTGATACCAACACCGTGGCATATTTAGTAAGGCTGCTGCCTGTAGTGCCAATATCCCACATGGGTGCTAGTGTGAGTCCCAGCTGCTCCACTTCTTACCCAGCTTCCTGCCAAAGTGCCTGGCAAAGCAGTGAAGATGACCCAAGCCCTTGGGCCCCTGCACCCTTGTGGGAGACTCGGAAGATGCTCCTGGATTCAGACCAGCCCAGCTCCATCCACTGAGACTGCTTAGGGAATGAGCTCACAAATGGAAGATTTCTCTTTCTCTCTGTCTCTCCCTCTGTAACTCTGCCATTCAAATAAATAAGTAAATCTTCAAAAACAAAAAGTATCTATCCAGTGACATATAATGATGAAACCATTATCTTCCCTAAAGCAGAATGATGCTTCTTTAAGTTATAATTTCCGTACTGTTTGTTTCCCTGTGTAGTGGCCCCGCCACTATGCAGTGGGGTTGGCGTCTGTGTCAAAGATATTTGTGTCTTCAGGCCGACATCTGCTAAGTGCTGGGGAGGCCCTTGGCTGCCACGTGCTTCCCGGGGACCTGCAGGTTCCGCTGATGTGACCCTGAGGTCAGTGTGGGAAGCACTGTGCTGGGCACAACATGAAGCAGACAGCAGTTCCTGCTTCCCCAGGTGAGCCAGGGGTTCCTGCAGGAGCTGCCGTTACGTAACCCCAGCCTTGGCATTTGGTGGAATTAGAAGGGCTCCAGGATGAGTTTAGAAGGAAACACAACTTTCCCTCTTTTTTTTTTTTCTCCTCCAAATCATTTCCCTATGCTTCATGGCCTTTTGGATTCTTCCCACCCTGCCTTTTTACTCATTTGAGAGGCAGAGATGAAGAAAGATCAAAAGAGAGCGAGCAAGAAAGAGAGAGAGAGAGTGCTTCCATCTTCCGATTTACTCCTCAGATGTATGTCTCCAGTGTCGGGGTTGAAGCTGGGAGCCAGGAACTCAATCCGTGTCCCCTGCATGGGTGACAGGAACCCAATGACTTGAGCCACCACCACCAGCTCCCAGTCTGCATTAGCAGGAAGCTGGAGTCAGGAGCCGGAGCTGGGACTTGAACCCAGGCACTCTGATGTGAGACACTAGGATCCTAATTGGTGTCGTGGCTGCGGGGGCCGACCACCCGCTGCCGCAGTGCCTGGGGGCTGTGTTCTCACTGTCCTGTGCCTGTGTGTTGCAGTGCACCATAGACAGCATGTTCCCGGGCTTTGCGAGCCAGCACATGCTAATGCGGTCTCTGAACACAGTGGCGCTGGTCCCCATCATGTATTCCTGGTCCCCTCTGCAGCAGAACTTCATGGTATGTATTGAAGGCACTGCTGGCTGCTCACACTGTCCTAGATGGTTCTTAGGCTGACACACCGGAGCTCCTCTCAGAGACAGTGGAAGTGCGTCACGAAGTGTGGGCACACGAGGCAGAACTAGCTGGAATTTGCTTACATATATTTATATATGTTCCTCCAAGGTGCTTTTGCTTTGTGGAGTCTGGATGTTGGTCTGTTAGCCTTTTCTTTTTTTCCTTTTTTTTGAGTGAATGAGGTTGGGCAAGACTGATTTTTCTCTTACGATCTTGGTCCAACTTTATTTTATTATGTGCAGTTACATGCAGCGTAAGTCACAGACGCTGTGGCGTAGGCAGCTTGTCAGCTCCCAGCTGAGGGAGCACTTTGCTGAGTCCTCCAAGGCAAGATGCCATGGGAGATGACCAGAGTGCATGTGGGGGACACGGTCCTCTCGTCTGGGCGTCTGTGCTGGGGCCACAGGTAGCTCTGATCACCAGCCCTCCTGGAGGGTGTGGCCCAGGACAGCGCTGCTGACTGTACTAGGGCAGGGGTCTACAGAGGACGCTGGCTCTGAGGGTGAAGCCCCGGAGTAACTCTCCTTGAAGCTCAGCATTTAAAGTGAGCAGCGTCTCCTCCCAGTCCCTTAGCACCGTTCGCTGCCAGAAAATGCCGGCAGCGCACACACCACAGTAGGCTTCGGGGTCCCAGCAGGTGTGACTGGCAGCCATCGGGAACCGTAAGTCACTGTTGATTTGTTGGGGAATCTTCTCCTATTTTCCAGGATATCTAGAACTTGTTTGGTGGCCCACTTCTTTTCTAGTGGTTCTGCAGCCCACCCTCCAAGACATCTTCTTTTTGGCTTGCTCACGACAAAGCAGGTGCCGTTAGTCCCTGCTGAGTTTTGTGTGGGTGACGCTCCTGCCCGTGTCACAGAGCTGTTTCACGGGTCAGATGAGATGGGTGGGAGATGGGAGCGCTGTCAAATTCTAGCACGTCAGGCTGAGCCTTTGGAGCTTCACATCATCCACTAAACTGACTTTTCCCTCCTCTGAGTAATATTGCCACTTGCACTGGAGGTGTTGACGCCAGCCTTTCAAACGCAGGAGCGGCGGGCAGGAGGAAGAGCTTGCAGTGTTTCGTAGTTCAGAGGGATAACTGGTTGACACCAGCTAGTTGTGTATCTGCAGACAGCTGACAGAAGGGATTTGGAATGTGCCAGCACAGAAGGGAGATGAATGTCTCAGTGGCAGCTAGGCCAGTTACCCAGATGTGATAACACACGTGTATTGAAATATCACCCTGTACTCCATAAATATGTACGACTACTGTATGTTAATTGAGAATTTAAAACACATTAAAAATGCATCAGACTGCCAAGAAATGGAAAACTGCCTAGATTTCAACTAGTTAATCCTTCCATTCATGAGACACGAGAAGCCTCACCGTTTGGTCTTCAGTTTGTCCTCATTATTTACCTGGCCACTGTGTCCAGCTATGGGACCCTCTGCCATCCTCATGACACCAGGTAGCCCAGTGTTTAAAGGTGCTTTCTGAGGCCTGGACCCACGCCGAGAATCCTACAGAAAAGCACCACCCAGATAGTTGGGGCTTCCCACTTCCAGCTATTCCTGACACATCTTGGGATTCCTCAGTGCTGTAGTATCCCATATGTACTCGGAGCTATCCTGACTTTCTCCCAGTTCCTTAGCTTGGATTGGAAACGTGAGCATGTGAGTGGAGTGGACAACACCTTACTTCTACTTTAAGTTTAGGAGTAACACCAGGAAATCTAAGTTCTGCATTTTTAATTGGAGTCGGTTTTTCTAAGTGAATCTAATCTTTGATCCATTGATGCGTGAATATCAAATAAAGCCACACACCAAGATTTTTTTAAAAAAAAGCAACAGATCATTATGCTTTTTACTGTAATGGAAAATGAAACCATGTTAGCCCAACCATTTAAAAACATTTTTTAAGAAGGCAGGGGACTGTTACCGAAGACGTTTTTAGGGGCCGCGGGAGCAGCACCTCAGCAGGGCTGTCACGGCAGGAGGGGGAGCTGGGCAGCAGCTCCGGGAGTGAACGCCTTCCGGCTTGCTTGCAGGTGGAAGACGAGACCGTGTTATGCAACATCCCCTACATGGGCGACGAAGTGAAGGAGGAAGACGAGACGTTCATAGAGGAGCTGATCAACAACTACGACGGGAAGGTCCACGGCGAAGAAGGTAGCAGCGGGCTGTCTGCGCGGAGGCTCTGAGCCAGCCCTTCTCGCCCATCGGCACCTTGTTCTCTATCTGCCCCACCGGGACACGGGAAGGGCTGTTTCAGAGAGAGACAGACAGAGGAACAGAGGTCTTCCTTCTACTGGTTCATTCTCCAAACAGTTGCAGTGGCTAGAACTGGCCTGATCTGAAGCTAGGAGCCAGCAGCTTCTTCTGGGTTTCCTGTGAAGGTGCAGGGGCCCAAGTGCTGAGGCCGTGCCCTGTTGTCTTTCCAGGCTATAAGCACGGAGCTGGATGGGAAACTGGGCCAAGATGTGGCATAGGGGGCTAGTTTTCCACCTGTGGCAGTTGCACCCCACATGGGTAGCAGTTCAAGTCCTAGCTGCTCGGCTTTTGACCTAGCTCTTTGCTAATGGCCTAGGAAAGCAGCGGATCTTGGACCAGTGTAGCCATGTGAGAGGTAAAGAGGAAGCCCCTGGCTCGCACCTTCAGACCAGCTCAGCTGGGGCTGTTTTGGCCGTCTGGGGAATGAACCAGGACGTGGAAGATGTCTGTCTCCATTTCTCTCTGTAACTCTGATTTTCAAGTAAAAGTAAAAATATTTTTAAAAGGCAGAAACAGAGCAAAAGACATATTGCCTTTTTTGTTTTAAGTTTTATTTATTTTTATTGGAAAGGCAGATATACAGAGAGGAAAGACAGAGAGGAAGATTTTCTGTCCGATGGTTCACTCCCCAAGTGACCACAACGGCTGGAGCTGAGCCAATCTGAAGCCAGGAGCCAGGAACTCTTCCGGGTCTCCCACATGGGTGCAGGATCCCAAGGCTTTGGGCTGTTCTCAACTGCTTTCCCAGGCCACAAGCAGGGAGCTAGGTGGGAAGCAGAGCTGTCGGGACTAGAACTGTCGCCCATATGGGATCCCGAGGCATGTTCAAGGCATGTTCAGGACTTTAACCACTGCACTATCGTGCCGGGCCCAGATTGCCTTTTAAATAAAATAATGATAATGATAATGATAGTAACAACAACAACAACAACAATAGCCCAGTTAAAGTGTAAAAGAGTTGGGACATAAAAAGGTTACTAAGAATCAGGGACTGGAGAGCTTCCCATGGGACGAGGGAGTTTCGTCTGGGTTTCTGTGTGTCCATCCAGGGCCATGAATCCTTCATTTCCCTTTTTTCTGAGAATGGCAGTAAACATGAGCCCTGCCTGGCCACTTAGATCCACAGCTGTCCTGCATCTCACAGATGTTTAGCATCCTGAGTGTCCTACAAGTAAATCACCAAGAATTAGTGGTAACTGTGTAAAAGATTGTCAGTATGTGAGAGGAGAGCAGCGGGGATTAAGTAGCCTCGCCTCCCCTTTCCTGTGCTGGGCGCTCGCAGGATGATGTTGAAGCACATTATTAGTCCACAGCGCCCCCTTGTGTTCAGATTATAGAAAATCAATTTTGTGGAGAAAACTTGATTCAGAGAAAACCACCCACACAGTAGCTGGAAAACCAAGGGAGAATTTTCTTTTAATGACTCTTCTGTCTCACTTGGGGCTGTTTACACACTTTGGTCAGGTCTTGAGCCAAACTATAAAATGGACTTATGGCTGAGGAAGTGAAATGCCCAGTAACAATCAAGCCCCTGGCCGGGCTGTCCACTCCAGCCAGCTGACCTGTTGCAGGTGCAAGAGCCACTCAGATCATTCCCTGGTGGGGACACGCATGTGTGGCAGCTGCCTAGGCCTCAGCAGCAAAGACAAGAAACGTGCCCTGGAAGTTTCCTAAGGGAGCACGAAACGGCCGGGGCTCACCCTCTAACCCCCCCATTTCAGAGATGATCCCTGGATCTGTCCTGATTAGTGACGCTGTTTTTCTGGAGCTGGTGGACGCCCTGAATCAGTACTCAGACGAGGAGGAGGAGAGCCACAACGACCCTTCGGATGGGAAGCAGGATGACGGCAAGGAGGACCTGCCGGTCACGAGGAAGCGGAAGCGCCACGCCCTGGAAGGTGCGCCGCTGGACCGCCCCTTGGACACCATGGACACCATGGACACCATGGACACCATGGACACCATGGGGCTGGCGGGGGCGCCTCTGGCAACTTTCTCTGGTCCACCTGAAAGGAAAACGTGACCCTTACACAACAGCTTGGGCTGGCTGTGACCTAGCTGAGGGAGAACTTACAGCATAATGATTGCTATTCATTTTCAATATAAAAGTCACGTGTTTGGAATACATGGAAAATTATAAAGAAGAAACAGAAATGATCCCATAAATCTGCTGCCAATATTCCTTCTAGACCGAAAAGAGGCGCATATACGGGTCAGCAGGTCCGTGGGTTACGTGCACCTGGGTCCGGCTGTGTTCCTTTGTGCCATCACTCTAGTCGTGCTGCAGGTGCGGAGGCTCGGTGCCTCTCGGGCCTCCCAGTGCTTGTCCCACCGGGTTCTTCAATCAGCATTCTGTGTGCAGGCAGACCCCCCCCCGTCCTAAGTGGAACGGGTTTTTTGGTCAGTGCCCACTCGTGGCCTCTGTGAGCCAAGGCCTGGCAGCTCCAGACCTGCTGTGTCCCTACAGTCCACAGCCCGGCTCAACCCCAGCCTGGTTATGGGAAAGTTTGCCCAAAGCCGACTAGGTCTGCAGACGGCTCTGCGCCCAGGCCCACGGCGGGCACTCAGGAGAGTGTCGTTTGCCATGCAGGCACCAAGAAGAGCTCCAAGAAGCAGTTCCCCAATGACATGATCTTCAGTGCCATTGCCTCCATGTTCCCCGAGAACGGAGTCCCGGACGACATGAAGGAGAGGTAAGGAAGGCTATCCCACCCAGGGCCCGCGCACGACTCGTGTCCCAGCTGCTGCCATGGCTAACGAAGAACCGGTTGCGATGAGCAAGTTGTGATTTGCCGGCCATCCGGTTACTTCTGGCGCTGGCTGACCTTGGAACACCCCTTGCCCCCGTGACGGCCGCAGTGCGGCTTCTGAGTCCGTGTAGGTGGAAGACTCGGCGGGCGGTTCTCCTGGGAAGCCGCCCCGGTACCGCCCCTCCCCTCGCCTGCAGCCACGCGCCCGCCCGCATCATGCATCCTGCCTGCGGTGGCATTCCCGCCTTACACACCGCACCCTCCTCCCTCAGCAGGATCCCCCAGTGCCCTGGCAGGCTGTCCCTGCCCATCCCCACGCTGTACTCTCCCGGTGGAGACAGTCCCTCGGGGGGCTTCCTCTCTCTGCACCAGGTACCGAGAGCTGACCGAGATGTCAGACCCCAACGCGCTGCCCCCTCAGTGCACGCCCAACATCGATGGTCCCAACGCCAAGTCTGTGCAGCGGGAGCAGTCCCTGCACTCCTTTCACACGCTCTTCTGCCGCCGCTGCTTTAAATACGACTGCTTCCTTCACCGTGAGTGGGGCCACCGGGGGAGACACACTCTTGGTCCTGCCCCCAGGCTCCACCCCCTCCTCCTCCGTCCAGCTGGAGCTCTGGGCCTCTGGCTGACCAGGGTCCCACAAGGGGGCCAGCTCCATCTTCCCCAGCTGCAGTGCGGACAGATTAGCTGCATACATGGCCCCCAGCACCTCCAGGGTTGGAGGGGATTGGGTTGGGGTCAGACATGTGCTCCTAAGTCAGCCCTGTTTACATCAGTTCTCATTCCCGTTCAGTTTTCCTCCCCCCCCCCCACCACCATTCTTGTCAAACTGGTGGACCACTGGGAACCAGACGCTTTTTGTGTTCCAGCTTTTCATGCCACCCCAAATGTGTATAAACGTAAGAACAAAGAAATCAAGATTGAACCGGAACCGTGTGGCACAGACTGCTTCCTCTTGCTGGTATGTCCGTAGGCTGTTCTGGCTTTGACTGGGTAGGCAGTCCACCTGGAAGTGTTTCTTGGGCTTTCTGCCGCCCCCCGGGGCCACGTGTGGCCAGGTGAGCCTGTGTGGCTGTCTGGAGGTCGCGGAGCCCACCCCTGCTGTGTCTGTGCTCAGAGGAGCACCCACTGGTCCCTGCAGGGCGTTAGGGGTTTCTGTGCTCTAAATACCGCCTGCTGGGGTTTCAGATGTATTGTTAGAATTGAAACAGTCCTAACGTGCGTCCCTGTGGGGTGGGCACTCCCCTGTGTGGCTGTGTCCTTTAGGTGCCTGTAAATCACACAGGAAGGGGACAGGATATACCTTTTTTTTTTTTAAGATTTGAAGGCAGAATGATAAAACCTTCTTTTTTTCGGGGGAGCGGTATTTTAGATCACGATTTTGTTTTTCATTTTTACTTTATTTTTTTTTATAATCTTACTTAGTTACTTAGGGTACAAAGGGTCAAGGGCTACAGAAAAGTGGGTAATGCCATTGTTTTCACACTAATATCATAATAGAACCTTCTATCAGTGATTCACTGTAGCCGCCAGGACTGGGCCAGGAGTTAGGAATTCCCTCTGGCTCTCTCGTGTGGGAGGCAGGAGTCCAGACTGGGCCATCTTCCACCCCCTTCTGGGGGCATTAACAGGAAGCTGAGTCAGAAGGGCAGAAAGCCGGGACTCAAGCCGGGCTCCCTGATAAGGGCTTTGGAGGAGTGGCCCACCAGTGTCCTAACTGTGCCACGACACCTGTCCCAGAGCTGATCCTAACTCTGTATATCTGACTTTCCAATTTAAAAAATATTTTTAAGTTACATATTATGCCCAAAATTATTTTGTCATTTGTTTTATTTGAGACGTAGATTTTTTTTTAAATATACATTTATTTACTTTTATTGGAAAGTCAGATCTGCAGAGAGGAGGAGAGACAGAGGTAGATCTTCCACCCGCTGGTTCACTCCCTAAGTGGCCACAGTGGCTGGAGCTGAGATCCAGAGCCTCCCCCGGGGTCTCCCACGCAGGTGCAGGGTCCCAAGGCTTTGGGCCACAGGCAGGGAGCTGGAAAGGAAATGGAACATATGGGATTCCAGCGGATGCAAGGCAAGGATTTAGCCACTAGGTCTTTGAGCTGGGCTCACCCTTATGGATTGGACTGTGCACACCTTTTGTCTTTTCCTGAGCCATTTGCATGTAAGTCATTGACTGTTGTGATGCTTGTTTGCTAAATAATCCCACAGCAGCTCCAAAAAACAAAATCATTTCTCTTATACTCAAGAAAATCAGCTGGAAGGTCGGAACATTATCTGCTCTGCGTTCTGTTAGTTCTCCAGGTATACTGAGAATTACCTGAGAGACAAACCCAGCCTCACGCGGTGGGCTTCGTGTTTACGAGGCGGCCCTCTGTGCGCTCCCGCAGGCTCCCCCGCAGCCTGCACTCCTCTCTCCTGCCTCCTGAAGTCAGTGTCCTTCCTGTAGCCTCCGCGCTCCATGACCCGGACGTGAGCAGTGCACACTCGAGGGTTTTTTTCTGGGAAACACTCTGGGTGACCGTGCTTCACAAGTGAGGCAGGGTCTTTATTGAAAAGGCAGATATTTCCAGAAAGAGCTTCCTTCTGCTGGTTCACTCCCTACATGGGTGCAGTGTCCAGAGCTGAGCTGATGTGAAGCCAGCAGCGTGCAACCTCTTTCAGGTCTCCCAGGCAGGTGCAGGGTCTTAGGGTCTTGGACCATCCTCTGCTGCTTTGCCAGACCATAAACAGGGAGCTGGATGGGAAGTAGAGCAGCAGGGACACAAACGGGTACCCATATGGGATCCTGACACTTGCCAAGGGGAAGGATTAGCCAACTGAACCATCACACTGAGTCCCCCAAAAATAAATAAAATGGAAAAAAAAAAAAAACCAACCTAAGGAAGTGGAGGCAGCTGTCTGGCCCAGCAATTCACACAGGCGGGGTACTTGTCCCGTAGCAGAGTGTCTCGGTTCAAGTCCCAGCTCCGGCTCCTGCTAAGACAGACGTGGGTGGCAGCAGGTAACAAGGTCCCTGCCAGCCCTGTGGGACACCGGGGTGGGGCTCTCCATTCCGGCCTCTCCAGGCCATTGTGAGCATTTGGAGAGAGAAGCAGCCTGTAGGAGTTGCCAGCCCTGTGGGACACCGGGGTGGGGCTCTCCATCCCGGCCTCTCCAGGCCATTGTGAGCATTTGGAGAGAGAAGCAGCCTGTAGGAGTTGTCTTTCTCAGGTCTCTCTCACATCAGTAACGCTTTTTAAAGATTATTTATTTATTAAAGATTTATTTTTATTGGAAAATCAGATACACAGAGAGGACAGACAGAGGAAGATCCTCTGTCCGATGATTCACTCCCCATGTGAGTGCAATGAGCCAACTGAAGCCAGGAGCCAGAAGTTCTTCCAGGTCTCCCATGTGGGTACAGGGTCCTAAGGCTTTGGGCCGGCTTAGGCTGTTTTCCCAGGCCACAAGCAGGGAGCTGGATGGGAAGTGGCGCTGCCAGGATTAGAACCAGTGCCCATGTGGGATCCTGGCACATTTAAGGCGAGGACTTCAGACACTAGGCTACTGCACCAGGCCCTAGATTTATTTATTTTTATTGCAAAGTCAGAATTACAGAGAGTAGAGACAGAGAGGAGGTTTTTCCATCCGCTGATTCACCCGCCCTCCCCCCACCCCCCACCCCCAATGGCCACAAGGACTGGAGCAGAACTGATCCAAAGCCAGGAGCCTGGAATTTCTTCCCGGTCTTCCACATGGCTGCAGGGTCCCAAGGACTTGGACTATCCTCGACTGCTTTCCCAGGCCACAAGCAGGGAGCTGGAAGGGCAGTAGAGCAGCTGGAATTAGAACCAGTGCCCATATGGGATCCCAGTGTGTGCAAGGTAAGGACTTTAGCCACTAGGCTACTATGCTAGGCCCAAATCAGTAACTTTTTGAAAGGTTATTTATAGTATAGCTATAGGTGCTAATGGCACGTTCAGTTTTATAATAGATCATAGAGTAATTTCAGAATTAAATAGTAACACTGTACAAGTGTAAGGACTGAACATTTTATAAGGGAAACATGCTGGGCCGGTGCTGCGACTCAGTAAGTTCAGCCACCATCTACGCACCAGCCTCTCTAATGGGCAGCCATTGAGTCCTGGCTGCCTTCCTTTTTATCCATCTCCCTGCCAAGGGTCAGGGTCAAGCAGTAAATGATGGCTCAAGTACTTGGATCCCTGTTCCATGCAAGGGAGATCCAGACGTCAGCCTGGCTCAGGGCTGGCCTTTGTGGCCACTCGGGGAATGAACCAACATGAAGATCCTTCTCCGCAACTCTTTCAGATGAATCAGATCGGCCCGGCAGTGTGGCCTAGCAGCTAAAGTCCTCTCTTGAATGCGCTGGGATCTCATATGGGCGCCGGTTCTAATCCTGGCAGCTCCACTTACCATCCAGCCCCCTGCTTGTGGCCTGGGAAAGCAGTCGAGGACGGCCCAGGGCTTTGGGACCCTACACCCACGTGGGATACCCAGAAGAGGTTCCTGGATCCTGGCTTCGGATTGTCATAGCACCGTCCGTTGCACTCACTTGGGGAGTGAATCATCGGATGGAAGATGTTCCTCTCTGTCTGTCCTCCTCTCTGTATATCTGACTTTCCAATAAATAAATAAATCTTAAAAAAAAATCAAATGAATCAAATCTTAAAAAAGAAAAAAAAATCAAGGTTGTAAGTTGTACAACTTTTGTGGAGCGGCTGTTGCAGTCACGCCAGCCATGTGGTACACAGCAGCCGGCAAGGCAGCAGCACTGCCCCTGGGATGCGGATGTTGAGGAAGGTCAAGGCTGCTGGGCGAGGGCCGTGCGTGGTGACGTCCCGGTTTCTGCTCTGCCGCAGGAAGGAGCCAAGGAATACGCCATGCTGCACAACCCGCGCTCCAAGTGTTCCGGCCGGCGCCGGCGCCGGCACCATGGGGTCAGCACTTCCTGCGCCAACACTTCGGCCTCCGCTGTGGCCGAGACTAAAGAAGGGGACAGTGACAGGGACACGGGCAACGACTGGGCCTCCAGTTCTTCAGGTACAGCGGGGCGAAGATCTCATCTCTCCTTGCAAGGACAAGGTCGCCATCCAACACTTAAGGGTACTGTGGGTGGAACCATCCATTCTGCCGCCAAGTTCACCCGCAGGCAGTGGCGAGGGGGAGCATTTTCCCCCAGGTTCTCCCACATATGTCAGCCATCCTGGCTAGCAGCCCTCCACCTCGTTTTGTCTCCTCTCAGAGGCCAACTCGCGCTGTCAGACGCCCACCAAGCAGAAAGCCAGCCCCGCCCCAGCCCAGCTCTGTGTGGTCGAGGCGCCCTCGGAGCCCGTGGAGTGGACCGGCGCTGAAGAGTCCCTCTTCCGTGTCTTCCATGGCACGTACTTCAACAACTTCTGCTCCATAGCCAGGCTCCTGGGCACCAAGACATGCAAACAGGTACTCCTGCAGCACGGCGCAGGCCCGCCCGATCGCGTCCCCAGCAGCCCGTGGGTCTGGGGTGTTCCTGCTGACTTTGTCTTTCTGGGTCCCCCAGAGGAGGCAGGGCCCAGCGTTGCCCGCAGCTCCGCCATCCCTCACCTCTGACTTTCACTCCTCCCACCTCCCAACACCTCTGGAGTTGTTGCTTTCCTGGAAAGGCCTCCCGCTCATTCTGTGGATCTCCAGAGCTGGCACACCGTGGCCTTGGCTGCTGTACGCCCCCCATCAGCCCCCTAGGCCTTCTAGTGTCCCCATGTCCTGCTGCTGAGTGTTCTGTCCCCTCCTCCTCCTAACTCAGACCAGCAGCCGACAGGAGCAGAGAGCCCACACATTGGCGACTGGGGGCCAGGGGGCAGGGCCGGGTGTGCGGCAGGACAGGAGCCCCTGTGGCCTGAGGTCCTGGCACGAGGTGCCCTGACCCTGCAGGGTCCCTCCGGCCTCCTTCACTTAGGGCAGTCGAGAATTGGGAGCCAAAGTCCTTTTGGCTTTCATCTGGGAGCTCACTACCTAACTCCCTGAAGCACAGGCTCCCAACTAACCCAGAAGGCTAGATTGCAAGCAAAAAAGAAAAAAGTCTGCTTTTTTCCTAAGGATAAGGACTGTAGTTTCCATAGAAATCTGAAAAAGGTACAGAGCCAGCGAGGGAAAGGAAAGGAGGAAGAGCAGCAGGAGCTGTTACTGCAGGGTGCAGGCGTCCTGCTGAACGGCAGGCTTTGGCATGGCCGTGCCAGCAGGGGGCGCCAGAGCTCCGCCGGGGCCCGGTTCCCGTGAGGTCGTTGCCGCAGGCAGGCAAAGCTCCCTTCCAAAAAGCCAACACTAAAACTGAAGAGATCCAGCCAAAGGCCGCGGTGGAAAGAGCCGCCATGAATGCTCGGCCCCTGGGCCGCTGCAGTGCTCAGCATTTCTCCCTCCTCGGGCCTGGGTCAGCCGTTGGGGGTCAGCCAGGGACCCCATGTCCCCGTAGCACCCCGTCTCCCCTTCACTGAGGAGCCTTCAGTCTGTTGCCTGTGTGCCACGCCCTGCCCTCCTGAGCCAAGCTCCTGGGCTCGATGCCCACCTGACCGCGTGGCTTGGCCAGGAGTGACGGGCCCTGTTGCGTTGCCCACCCAGGTCTTCCAGTTTGCCGTGAAAGAGTCACTTATCCTGAAGCTGCCGACAGATGAGCTCATGAACCCCTCGCAGAAGAAGAAGCGGAAGCACAGGTGGAGCTGGGTGGCCCGCCGCCCTGGGCAGTGCGCTCTGGGCGCTGCGTGCCCTCTGGGCCCAGCCTCCCTCCCAGGGTTGGGTGAGCCCCTCCCCCTGCCGAGGGCCAGTTTCTCGGCTATGGGCCTGGGCCCAGCCCTGCCCACTCCTCCAGATGCCCTGGACCATGAGGTGGCCTTCCGGTTTTCCACGTGAGCTGCCGGCCACCAGCCTGAGGGTGTCTCCTGGCCTGGTGGCTGCTTCCCGCCTCACCCACTTCTCTGCTGTGACCTGGGCTTATTTCTCCACTTGTATTGTGTGATTATACCCTCACAGCTGGCCTCCCTCGGGGGGAGAAGGGGAAGCTGGAAAAACAAAACAAAACCAAACCAAACCTGGCCCTTGGCCTGCTCTGTTCTCTAATGAGTGCCACCCGTGATGGCATTCGCCAACACCTGTGGCCCCTTGCTCAGAGGCTTTGGCGTTTTCTGCCTGGGGAGAGGGGGTTGCGCCCTGTAAGTTGCAGTCTTGCAGTCAAAGCCAGGCTCTGGGCACTAGGTAGGGGGCCACGCCCTGATCATCAGGGCAGAGCAACGTGACCAGACCCACTCTTCTGTCTTACAGACTATGGGCTGCGCACTGCAGGAAAATCCAGCTCAAGAAGGGTAAGTGGCTCCGGGGCTGTGTTTGTGGCTCCTGCCCATGGCCCTCACCTCCCCCACCTCACTCCACACAACATGTCCTCGCTGACCCTGGCCACTTCCACCTAGCACAGGTTTTTGAAGCTTTTGCAGTGGCTGGGAAGAGCAGTTCCACCCCTCGCTGCAGCTGCAGCCCAGCAGCCCTCCTCAGAAGCAAAGACACCCCCTCCCCGCTACCACCACCCTGTTGCGGTGCTGCTGGGCAGACTGCTGATCCGAGAGCTCAGACCCCGGTATCCAGCTGAACTGCGAGTTATCTAGGCGGCTCATCCGCACAGAACACGCCCCCACACCAGGGCTGGGGAATGGCAGTGCCTGCCACTGCCGCCTTCCGTCAGCCGCCAGGCGTGTGCCCCGGGCTATGGCTGGAACAAGTCTCTTTGGAATCAGGGCCGCAGCCATTGGGGCTGAAGGGCTGGCCTGCCACGAGGCGGGTCCCAGGAGCCTCCTGCTTCGTGCTTCTCTCTCCTAGATAACTCTTCCACGCAAGTGTACAACTACCAGCCGTGTGACCACCCAGACCGCCCCTGTGACAGCACCTGCCCCTGCATCATGACACAGAATTTCTGTGAGAAGTTCTGCCAGTGCAACCCAGACTGTGAGCATGCCGTGGGACCTGTCTCCCCACCCACCCCAGGCGTTCCTCTCACCCCTGCCCCCTCGGTGGCCGACGGCCTTGTCGTGTTGTCCTGGCCCTGGACATTCTCCCAGGGAAACTTAGTGCTTAAGGTCTTGGGGCAGGGGAATCACTTTTGAAAGCCCTTAGGTACGTAAGAAGCAGCACATGTTGAGAAGTGGGGTGCTGACCTAATTTTCCCTTCCAGAGAAACTAAAGAGTGTGGGACTCTTCCCTGAAGGTGCTGTCACAGTCTTCCTTTGGGGGACTTTTCCTTTTAGTTTAAACTTAAATTATCTTCATTTGACTTGAGAGAAAGAGACAGAAGATGGAGACTCAAAAAGGTCTTCAGTAGCCAGGGCTGGCTGGGCCGTGTGGGGACCAGGTGCTCAGAACTCCATCCCAGAGGGATCTGGGCACTTGACGGTCACCTGCGGCCTCCCGTGTGTGTGTTAGCAGGGAGCTGGAGCAGGAGCGGAAGCGCTCTCTTGCCTCCAGCCTGGCCCAGCCCTGGCTGTATTGAACATCTGGGGAGTGAATCAGCAGATGGACAATGTCTCGCTCTCCTCCTCTCATTCTCTCTGTAACCCGGCCTCTGAAGCAAATACATGAAAACATTTTTAAAAAGTGGAGGCGCTGGAACTCAAGCCAGGCCGTCCAATGCAGGGTCTGAGTATTCCCAGTGCTGATCAATGCACACCCCAGAAAAAAACAAAACAAAACAACCGACTCTCTGTTAAGAGGTGGCAGGCAAGTTAGCAGCTCTTCTTTCTCCCTTCTGAGCGCCTGGAGGGTTCCCCCCCACCCCAGCTTGCCGCTCTTGGTGCCCAGGCAGTCAGCAAAACCACCTAAACCCGCCGCAGCCGACAGTCTCAGCCACAGCAGAGAGGCGCTCGTGCTGCGGGGGCTGTGGGTGGAGGAGGGTGGCAGGGAGCGGATGCGTTCTGTTCTCAAAATGATACTTGCTTTGATGGCGAGGCTTTGCCAGTGCCGAGCACAGATTGCATTTTCCCGGAAGCGCTCCCCACGGTCCCCCAGCAAGGCTGGGGGTGGCGGGTGGAAAGTGAGACCCGGAGCCTGGGGGGGGGAGGGGAAAGGCAGCTCGCTCTGCACTCACACCTGCTCTTTCTCCCGTGGCCCCCGCCCGCTTCCCCCACACACCTGCTTGACTTGACCCACAGGCATGTCAGCAGACACCCTGTGGAAAAATTGAGTGCATGAGGGGCCTTCGGAAAGCTGTGGCGAAACGGAGTTGAAAGTACACCTTAGGGCGGAGTATCTGTGAGGGACTGGCGTTTGGTATGACAGTTATGTCACCCCTCAGAACACCTGCCTCCCATATTGGCAGGCGAGTTGGAGTCCTCCCTGGCTTCGGCTCATGCACACGGTGGAAAGTAGCGTGGCAGAGCTTCGGTGCAAGAGTCCCTCCAGCCGTGTGGGAGCTCCTGGGTTCCCGGCTTCAGCCTGGCTATCATAGACATTCGGGGAGTGAGGCTGTAGATGCAAGATCCTTCGGTGTCCATCTGTCTCTCTCTGCCTCTTCACCTTTCAAATTACAATGAAAAGAACAACTTTTTTTTAAAAGGTTTATTTATTTTTAATGGAAAGGCAGATATGCAAAGAGGAGGAGAGACAGAGAGGAAGATCTTCCATCCACTGGTTCACTCCCCAAGCGGCTGCAATGGCTGGAGCTGAGCCAATCCGAAGCCAGGAGCTTCTTCCAGGTCTCCCACGTGGGTGCAGGGTCCCTTTGGGGCCGTCCTTGACTGCTTTCCCAGGCCACAAGCAGAGAGCTGGATGGGAAGCAGAGCTGCCAGGATTAGAACCGGCACCCATATGGGATCCTGGCACATTCAAGGTGAGGACTTTAACCACTACACTATCACACCAGGCCCCAGAAGAAGTCTTTAAAGTACATTTTTGGAAAGGTTTTTTGTTTGGTTTTCAGAAGCAGGCATTTTAACACGGTAGTTAAACCACCCTTCCTTAGGCCACATGTCCCCCACATCTGCATGGCTTGGTCCTGGCTCCCCTGCCTCTGGTCCAGCTTCCTGCTCGATGCCCGTGGGAGGCAGTAGAGCTTGGCCCAAGTGCTTGGGTTTTTGCCTCACAAGTGGGAAACCAGGATGGAGTTCCTGGCTCCTGGCTTCAGCCTGGCCCAGTCCTGGCTGCCGTGGCCTTTTGGGGAGTGAAGCACCCACCAGATGGAAGGCCTTTCTCTTTCTCTCCCTCCCTGTCTCTGCCTTTTGAGTGGATCAAAATACATGATAATTTTAAATTTTTATTTATTTATTTTTTTCAAGTTGCAGCACAAAACTTTTATTTCCATTTGGTCCACAGTTTATGAGAGGGCTCCGGGGCTGTTAACAAGCTGCCTAGTGGCTGGAGGGGGTAGCAATTGATAATTTTTTAAAATGTCAAAGTACATGCATAGTTTTCTCAGGAACATATTTATTCATTTGTTTACTTGTGTGTTTATTCATTTATTTGGAGAGGCAGAGAGAAACAGCAAGAGCATTTCCACCTGCTGGTTTACTGCCCAACTCAGATACTCATCTAGTTCAGGAACTGGGCACTCAGTTCAGGTCTCCCACATGGGCTGCAGGAACCCACCTCCTTGAGCTGTCACCACTGCCAGGCGTCAGGAACAGAGCTGGAACTCGAACTCAGGCATGAAGGTCGGGGACACATAAAGCGGCACCATACCTACCAGGCCAAACGCCCAGCCCTCCATGAGGCTTTTAGAGCCCCCCTGGTGTGATCACCGACAAGCCAGCTGCTCTCCTGCTGGGCCACACCTTCTTGGACGCAACAGGCATGTTTGCCTGCCATCCCCCCTCGGATGTTAGCCCTTCCTCACTTTGCCTGTCCGCCCCCAGGTCAGAATCGTTTCCCTGGCTGCCGCTGTAAAACTCAGTGCAATACCAAGCAGTGCCCCTGCTACCTGGCTGTGCGCGAGTGCGACCCCGACCTGTGCCTCACCTGCGGGGCTTCGGAGCACTGGGACTGCAAGGTGGTCTCCTGCAAGAACTGCAGCATCCAGCGGGGCCTCAAGAAGGTGACGCCTCATCTCTGTGGGGGTCCCCACAGGCCAGGCCTGGGCCAGGACCCCCTTAGCACCAGTGGCTTCCAGGATCTCCAGGGGAGTTTGCCACACTAGTGTGGGGTTAGGAAGGCAGCCCTCTCAATCAGTTAGGCTAGAAGTGACTGTGCCATCCATGGAGTGGGCGGTTCTTTTGACCCACACAGAGCCATGAATGCCCACGGCTTAGGGTCTGAGAGGCCCCAAGCCAGTAGTGAGGAAGAGGGGTCTGTTTGCTCTCTCTACCTCCCTGTTCGGTCTCTCCTCCATCACAACAGAATGGCTCAGGCCTTTTTTCTGTTTTCCGATCCTCTTAAGTTTCTAGTTCTTTCCACCCTGTCCCCTGCCACACACCCCATCTTGGCTGCAGGCTGAGCTGTGGTTCCCTCTCCCACCCCCCAGCACCTGCTGCTAGCCCCTTCAGATGTGGCCGGATGGGGCACCTTCATTAAGGAGTCTGTGCAGAAGAACGAGTTCATTTCTGAGTATTGTGGTGAGGTGAGTGCTGCGGGCCTGGGCGGCCACTGATGAAAAACACTGATTGTCTGCAGGCCAGGCTTCCGTGGAGGATCTCTAAATCACTCAGCGGGGCTCTCATGGCGGGGAGGGTGGGGCGCCCTCGGGGATCCCACAGGGCTTCTCCAACAAACCTCTGGCTCTGCAGCTCATCGGGTTCATCAGTCCCGGGGTGGGCAGCACAGCGTGACCTGGTACTCAGCAGGTGCCTGTGTGTGGTGCCGCCCTCCCCATCCTTTCTGGAGTCTGATGTTTGCCACTTGTCTCCCCCAGCTCATTTCTCAGGACGAGGCCGACCGCCGAGGGAAGGTCTACGACAAGTACATGTCCAGCTTCCTCTTCAACCTCAACAATGGTGTGGAGCCCCTTCCCACCCGCCCCCTCCTACAGAATAGTTTGTGCGGGGCTTTCTAGAACATTCCCTTCAGTCTAGGTGCAGATGACCACACGCATAGCACAATTCCAGCTTGCCCTCAGAGAGCCTTGCAGGCCACAGGCCATCAGATGTGGAGACACTTCCATTCCCAGATTGCGTTTGCAGCAGGAGTGCTAAGCACCTAGGCTTGGGCTTGGGCTGGGTGTTGTGGCACACCAGCTTGAACCATTGCCTGGTATGCCTACGTGCCAGATCTCAGTGCTGGTTCAAGTCCCAGCTCTTCTGTTTCTGTGCAGCTCCCTGCCTGTTCCACATAAGGATGTGCCAGGGAAGGCATGGATGCCGGCCTGGGTTCTTAGGTCTCTGCCACCTACGGGGGAGACTGGGGTGCAGTCCTGAGCTCCAGGCTTCAGCTGTTATTGGGCCTCTGGGAGTGAGCCAGTACACGGAAGAGGCCTCACCCCTTTCTCTGTCACTGTACCTTAGAAATTGAAGAGGAAATAAATCCTTTTTCTTCAAAACAAAAAACAAAAACCCTTAAAAACAGTGTCCATGCCCAGTAGATGGGAAGTGGAAATCTGTACTCCAGGCACGAGGTCCTCCAGGGTGGTCCCAGGTCTGTTACTGCTTAACTGAGTCACGAAGCTACAGAGCTGCCTCGTGCACTCACTGTCTTCCCCCGATATGCTTGGTGCAGATTTTGTAGTGGATGCTACCCGGAAAGGAAACAAGATTCGTTTTGCAAACCATTCCGTGAATCCCAACTGTTATGCCAAAGGTGAGTTCCCAGCAGCCTTGGAGGTGAGCGGGGTACACGCTTCTGTGACAGCGCCCTGCGCAGCTCTCATCACTTGATCTTAACCAAAAGGCCGAGACGCGATGTGTGCAGCTCTTTCTCAAGTTGGGCTTTCTTTTTTTTTTTTGTTTTCCCCAAATCCAGAGATAATCACAATTAATGCCATTTAATCATGGTATCATTTTAGACCTCTCGTTCAGTTTCAATAATCTGCTTTTTCATCGTTGTAAACACTTTCCCACAAACATGATTGAAAGATAATTCTGCCCACATCATATCTAACAGAGCTCAGAGCACAGGGACAAGCCTGTTCCTGCTGCTTGGCCGGGTCCACTGGTGTGTGTGTGTGTGTGTGTGTGCGCGCGCACTTGTGGGAATCTGGGGTCAGGAGCCCCAGGTCCGCCAGGTGGTTGCCCCAGCACCTTGCCCTGCTGTGTCCCCACTGCAGTGGTCATGGTGAATGGGGATCATCGCATTGGGATCTTCGCCAAGAGAGCCATTCAAGCCGGGGAAGAGCTCTTCTTCGACTACAGGTGGGGTGGCCGTGGGGACTGCTCTGCACCCTATGGCCCTGCCTCCAAAGTGGGGTGCTGGGGGAGGGCTGAATAGGGGGAGAGGGGGTGACTCAGGAGGGAGCGCTGCCCTTGGGTCAGGAGAGCCTCCAGAATAACATGGCTCCCCTCTGTCCTGGGACAGGTACAGCCAGGCCGATGCCCTCAAGTACGTGGGGATAGAGCGGGAGACCGACGTCCTTTAGCTCCTGGGTCCCAACCCCACTCCAGCCCCGCGGTGGCCACACCATCTTTGCTTCCACACACACTAGTGCCACATCTGTCCCTGTACCCTGTGTTTTCCACATCAACAAATCACCTGCCTATTCCCCATAACGCAAGGCCTCAGCCGCATCCTGTGGGGGGATCCCACTTCTCAGCGAAAGGGGAGACTGCGGCAGCATAGAGCTGCAGAAGAGGGAGGCTGCGGGGTTGTACGGGTCAGTCCCTGGCTGCGCGCCTACAGGTAATGACCCCAAGTAGAGCGTTCCTGGGCCGGGGCCCTGGTGTGAAGGAGGCGCCAGGCACAGCTCTGAGGCCCGAAGCATGGAGTGAACAGGCCGAGTTATATCCAGGCCTGGGGCCAACACACATTAGAGGAGGGCCTGGCAGGCAGCACAGACCAACCAGAGGGAGATAGGTCTCCAGCCGCTGCTACCTCCTCCCCCTGGCAATCTCTGCCTGACCCCTAGGGTGGAGCCAAAAGCCAGGTTCAATACTAGGAGAGAGCCATCTTCCCTGGACAGAGTGGGAGGGCAGCTGGCACCCAGAGTTCAGTTGCCATGTGCACCCAGAGTTCAACTCTGTGTACCTCCCTGTGGCCAGGGGCGGCGCCTGGCTCCTTCTCACAGCTTGACCTCCAGCTGCAGGCAGGCTGGTCCCTGGACACAGGCCTGGACTGCAGATGTGGGGGCTGAAGCTGTGCCAAACGCCCTAATACCATAGGTGTTAGAAGGTCAGGGCCTTAACCACACATGGGGTAGGGTGGCGGAGACAGGCAGATCGGCTACTCGAGGCTGCAATATCATCCTGGGTGGGGTTTGTGCAGAACAAAGCACTTTATTGCTATGAGAAGGTCTGGGACTGGGGTAACGGCTGAGACAGGGTCTCAGGGCCCCTACCCAGTCCCACCCCTGCAGGAGGAGCCTGTGGGCCGGAAAATTCTCCTCCAGTGTGGCTGGCCAGGAGGAGGAGTTGGCCTGACACCGCAGAAGCCAGCAAGAACAGAACCAGGAACCAACAGGAGTGGCCTGCCGTGGGGCCCCGGGCGTGGAGCTGGGGGCGTGCAGACAGCAGGCTCAGTGTCCTTGGCCCCTGGCCCCTGCTGGCTCACTCACGCAGGAGGAAATACAATTCCCCCTGGCTACTCTGCCTCCAAGGGATCTGCGTGGGACACAGACGTGCAAGCACACACGCAGCACACTGGCAGGAGCATGCCCCCTACCCTCTCCATCCCCTCCCTGGGGCTTGGAATGCGCTGTGTCAGGGAGGCCTTCAGGCGGGACCCTGGGCTCCGAGTTCCTGCTAAGCTATCCAGGGAGAGTGGAGGAAGCAGGCCTGGCTGGAATGCAGGGGAGCTGGCCGCCAGGATGGGGGCCAGGCTGCGGCACACCCAGCCTTCTCAGCGCACAGCTCCAGCTCCAGGCCCCAGCACACCCCTCCCCCTGTCCCTGTTGATCCCTTCCCCCACTTCTCATGACGGGTCTTGAGCTCTCTACCCCACACGCCATGGCGGATGGAGCGGGGTGGCGGGTGTGGAGGGCATGTGGTCCTCCCACCAGTGATGTTCATGCACTTGAAAGTCCTGTGGCTTGTGACCTCTTATCTGAATAAAGTGTTAGGAACCATGTGGGCCAGTGTCATGCTGTGCGCCTTGGGGCTTCAGGGATGGGGTGCAGTGCATGCCAGTGTGTGTGGCCGTGGCATGAGCCATCAGGATCCCCACTTACCACCCACAGCTTGATCTGTGGACCAGGCCAGGCGATGGCTGGGGGTGCAAGGGCTCCCAGAGCCCTCAGTGGGTTCCTATCAAACTGTCCCCTCTTAGCCCAGCCCAGTGCCAGCCACCACACACAGCCTGTGGTTCTGCCACTCTGTTTTATTGGTCTGGCTCTGAGGCGAGGGAAGAGCAGGGCAGCCCCCCACCAGCCTCAGAGCTGTCTGGATGAGTGACAAACAGGGGGAGCCAACTACAGACTGTGGGCACAGCACAGGACCGGACAGCCAACTGGGCTTTTCTTTTATATATAAACAGGTAGTTTAAAAAATTAGAATAATATATACTGTTTCCCTAGAGACAGACTCTGCAACAAAAAAATATATAAACAATAGGACCTCCTGGGCAAAAGCAGCAGCATCTGAGAGCGAGGGCTCGCGTGCATTGGAGAGGGGGCGGAGCCTTGGGTCAGGCCCCAAGGCGACTGCATAGCTTGGCAAGGGGGCAGGGCGGGAGGGGGCTGGCCAGGCAGCGTGTCTGCGCTATCTTCTCTACACAGCAGGTTCCTTATGGCTTTGGCTAAAGCAGTGAAGCAACGGAGGTACTGAGGTGCTAAACTGAGGCCTCTGGTCTCTGTGCAAAAAACGAAATCTGTGGGTTGGGGACATCAGTGAGGCCCCCCTCACCCACCAGGGTGGAGAGGAAGCAGGTGGGAGCCAACAGGGCAGGGCGGGCGGGGAGCGGGGGAAGGGAGGCCGCCCTGCTGCCTGCACACACGCACACGCGGCTGTCCCTGCCACGGGGAGGGAGGCAGTTAATCTCCCAGCACTCTGGTTAATCCCTCCCAGCAGCTGGGACGGAGAGGGTGAGGGCGGGCAGGGCCGTTCTGGCCTGTCCCCCGAGAGGCTTCCCTGGGGCAGGCGCAGAGCCAGGAGTCTGTGGGGGTGGGGGGCCAGAGTGAGTGTAGGCAGTGAGGCCCCCTCCCTCGGCTCCCTTCTGTGGCTCTGCCTGCCAGACTTGGTGGGGGGTGGGGTGTCTCTGGAGCAGAGCTGGTTAGGTGGGGCCAGATGTCTGTTGCGGCAGGGAAGGGGGGGGCGGATTGGAGGAGCTGGGCCCTGCAGCCCCTGCTCCCTACTCATTCAGACTTGCCCTCCTCCGAGATTCGGGGTAGGGTCTGACCCCGGGGACCAGAGGCTGCAGCTGGGCCTGGGCCTGAGCCAGGGGCTGGGGCTGGGCCAGGGGCCGGGGCTGGGGCTGAGGCTGAGGCCAGGGCAGGGTTGGGAGCTGGGGCTGGGGCTGGGGCTGGGGCTGGGGTCTGGGCAGCGCCTGCAGCGTGGGGTTTGCTGCTGGGATGGTAGTCGTGGGCGGCCTTGGGCTCATTGGTGTGATAGGAGCCCTTGTAGCGGTGGTTCTGCAGGTAGAATAGCACCAACATGCCCACCAGCCCCAGTAGCAGGAAAGCCACCAAGACTGCAAGCAAGAACAGCAACCGTCAGTGCTATCACACACACACAGAGCAACTGTCAGCGCTTTCGCGCCCTCTCTCTCACACACACACTCAGGTACATACCATCTTGACACATGCGCACCAGAACTAGCCAGATGACCCCATGAAACTCAACGCCTGGCTTGGCCCTCAGCTCACTTCTAATTCCAGCACCCTCTTTCTGTATCCCTGGGGTTTCCCAGTTTCTTATCTCCCCAGCTGTTGGTGTATTTCCTCAGTCCTCAGCTGTAGCCCCATTTCAATACTTCCAGAGGATCTTTAAATATCAGGGAATCTGCGGCCCGATCATACACCACACTCGCGGTGGTCTCTCTGTACCAACAGGCATCCCACCACCCGCGAGACCCCTCAGGCTGGGGACGGGGCAGAATCCCTGCACGGAAACTGAGGGTTAGCGGCCGAGCAGGGCTACTCACAGCCTAGCAGAATGGCGACCCAGCCGTCATCGTGGTAGTAGAGGAAGTCTGCAGGAGAAAGCGGCAGTCGGGACCGCGCGCCCGGGCGCTAGCTCGCTTCCCTGCCGCCCCTCCCACATACGTGTGCGCGCATGCGCCACGCCAGGCTCGGCCGTACCTGGGGGCAGGTACCAAGGATCCAGCTCGGGCGGCACCTCCGAGACCAGCCGCGGCATGGCCCCGCAATTGGACTCGGACAGCTCCCCCTGGACGCGGAGGGCCTCGGCCAGCTCCGCCGTCATGGGCCGGGGGCTGCGGAAGTGCGTCTTGAGTGGTGCCACGTTGTTGAACCGAACACCGGACAGGCAGCCCGAGAAACCCGGGGTGTTGTAGCGCTGGATCTCCGGGTCAATCACCCCCGTTTCTGAGACAGAGAAGGGCTCGGACCACCTCCTCCCCGGTCCCGCCCCGCATCCCGCCCCTCTCTGCCACACCCCCAGCCCTGCCCCAGGCTCCAGGGTCTGGCTGCTGTGCACCCTCTGCTTACCCATCACGCGCCCGAGATACAAGGCCTTGGGTGAGTCCAGCTGGCTATCCACCAGCAGGGAGAACTTCTGTTCTGTCATGGAGAAGTAGTCCACCTGGATACCGGGGGGGTGAAGGGGATGGCGCTGAATGTGGCCAAGCGGGCAGCTGCCAGCCAGGGGTAGGATTTAGTGTGTTTAAGAAAACCACTCAGTCAGGGGTTAGATACAGGGAGTGAAGGTTAAGATGCTAGCTAGGATTCCCAAGTTCCACATCTGGGGGCATGGATTGGAGCCTCAACTCTGAGTCCTGACTCCAGCTGTTTCTTCATGTGCCCCTGGAAGGCAGCCAGGGTGGCTCAAGTAAATGGATTTCCAGCAAGCACATGAGAGACAGTTCCTGGTTTCTGCCCTCTGCCATCGTGGGAACCTGGGAAGTGAGCCATCAGTTGGGAACTAAGTGAAACAGAGTTACATTACAGAGAGAGGAGGAGAGACAGAGATCTTCCATCTGCTGGTTTGCTCTCTAAATGGCTACAACAGCCCAGGGTCTGGGCCAGGTCAGAACTAAGAGCTCAGAGCTTCGACCAGGTCTCTAGCGTGGGTGTTTCTTCTGCTGCTTTCCTAGGCGCATCAGCAGGGAGGTGGATCAAAAGTGCAACAGCATCCATAGGGGATGCCAGCATCACAGGCAGGGAGGGACTTAACCTGCTCTGCCATAGTGCTGGCTCCTGGTTCTACTTCTAATCCGGCTCCCTGCTAATGTACATGGAAACGCAGTGGATGATGATCCAAGGACTTGGGCCCCTGCGACCCATGTGAGAGATGTAGATATAATTCCTGGCTGCTGGCTTCAGCTTGGCCCAGACCTAGCTGCTGTGGCAGTTTGGGAAGTGAACCAGAGGATGGAAGACTTCTCTTTTTGGCTGTCCCCTGCCCTCCTTCTCTGGTTGCCCTGCATTTCAGTCAATCAATGAATCAAACAAACAAATCAATAGCAGCAAACCAGCCTGGGTTTCAGACCATTTTAACAAATTATGTATTTTTATTGAAAAGGCAGATTTACTAAGAGAAAGAGAGAGAAAGCTCTTCCATCTGCTGGTTCACTCCCCAAATGGCCATAACAGCTAGAACTGAGCTGATCTAAAGCCAAGAACCAGGAACCTCCTCTGTGTCCCCCACACAGGTGCAGAGCCCAAAGGGGCCATCCTGGACTACTTTCACAGGCCATAAAGAGGGAGCTGAATGGAAAGTGGAGCAGCCAGGAAATGAACCAGCACTTCTATGGGATACTGGCACTTGCAAGGGGAGGATTAGCCAATTGAACCATAGTCCCGGCCCCTGAGGTCTGTCTTAGAAATTTGACTTTGGGAAAAACAATTTCCTCTTGGCACTGACTTATTGTACCACTGCACTGGGGTGTTGGGAGGGCCCAGTAGGCAGAGGACATGGCAGTCCTCTGCAGCTGACATTATGTGGGGTGCTGGCACCAGAGCGGGGGGGCATGAGCTTGTGATCTGAGGTCTCCCCTGCCCCTGCCATACCTGGATGAAGAGGTTGCGGTAGACTCGGGTGATGTTGACGCTGTGGGGCTGGCCGTCGGTCACTGGTCGCGTGGTTAGCTGGTACACATAGGGGCTGGTGCCTAGCTGGTACCGCAGCTGCAGGGTCCCTATGGGGAGGGAGGAAAAGGGTGGGTTTTGCTTGTACCCAGCTGGTGTCAGTATGGGGCGCCAGCCTGGGCAGGGTTGGGAGGGCCGAAGCGGCGCTCACCATCCTCCTTGATGAGCACAGCCATGTAGTCACGCACGAAGGAGCTGACGTAGAGCAGGACCGCGGGTGCCGAGCTGGTGCTGAAGCTGAAGGACACCTCCTCTCCCGTGACATTGTACACAGGCCCACGGTAACCGGGCACGGGCCGACCAGGCCGTGGGTAGTCAGGCAAGCGGTACCCGGGGCCATGATAGCCAGGCACGTAGCCAGGAGTGTCGTAGCCAGGGATGTAGCCAGGCTCATAGCCTGGCACAGGCCGGCTCAGCATATGGGAGAACTCACGGGCTGCAGAGCGCAGGGCTGACTGCAGGTTGTAGCGCATCCAGGTGCCTGGCTCGAAGAAGCCGCCGATGTCTGGAGGTAGAGGCAGTGAGGTGAAGGGACCCCTGACCCCTCGCTTCCCAACTCTGAGGCTCTGAGTGGCTCACACACACGCACTGACTGACACTGGTTAAAATCTCCGTCCCCCAATAAGGTGACGCTGTGAAGGAGTCGGTGGATGGGCAATGACGTCAACAAGGGCCAGGGGTCTGTGTCCTCATGTCACGGATGGCCAGAAGAACAAGCAGTAACATGACGGGCGGGGACAGTCACCACCAGGACTGCCCCTTCTGGGGTCAGCTGAGCGACACTGGCAAGGAGAGCATCAAGTGCACCCGAGCCTCTTCCCGGGGTAGGGGCGTCTGTCTCACCGTGCGTGGCTGAAGCTGGTGA